AACAAACTACGTGAGTTTAGATACTTTAATATATAATAAAAGAATAAAATTGAAAATTCGATAATGAAACAGTAAAGAATTTCAAATATTTTATAGTTTCTATGAGAAATTTGACACGACTACACAGCTGAGAGGAACCAGGCGAGAACGGTGAAGCATGCGTAAACAAGACTTCCTAACCTAAAAGCTATGCTTATCTCATTGGCACAACAAGGCGAGAGGTTTACTTCGACGATTATCTCATTGTCGATCCTCAACACACTCTGAATCGTTTTAATTGTAAATGTTTATTAATATTAATGATTTGAGATCATTCATATAAATCCAATTCATTTTGACCCGTTCTTCATGTACGTTCTTGAATTTCAGGAACAGTTTATGGTTTTCTGAAAGTATGTGAATGTTATTGAAATCTGATAAGATGAAGCAACTTGGCTATTGTTGATAATGATGCTGAAGGTTTACAGATTTCACATGATCGTGGACATACTATAAACTGTATTTCATCAAACTCTGTGCAATACTTGAACAGAGCCCAAAATGGACAACGCCAATTCTCATCAATACATGTTTCAATCTAATAAAATGGGAATGAATGAATGAAATAATTATATTTATGATGATGATTTGATCATTATTAAGAAGAATAAAAAACATATAGAAAGAGTTAATGAACCCGCAAAACAGATCAAATGATTGTTAAAAGCACACACACACGCACACACACGTACACACGTACGGACACGTACACGTACATATACGTACACACATAGTCTATGTGAGAATGTTAGATGAAGGACCATAACAGAGGATATGAAACATGAAATGAACATTCAAACGATGTTATTATTGATTATTTGATTAAAGCATATTGATATTGCTTAACCATACGATATGATTAGGATTGATTAGTTTGATTATCAGTGTGATTTAGCCAAATATACGAATACGACCATTCTTATTGGATGAGAAGCTTCCTTGACTATTAATCATTGGAGGACGAACAGGACCAGAATTAATTGCTCCATTATTATTATTATTTGAAGATGGTTGACCAGTGAAAGACGTTGCAATAGGCTGTTGTGCTGATGGCATCTGAGGACGGGACCATTACACAATCACTGTTAAGTAGCAGTTTGCAAACAAAGCAACAATTATATTATAAAAATGAGAAGAAGCTCATCAATCGTCAATCGATCATAGAGAGCATCTTTTCATTTTAATTGATTTTCTTTGTAATTTCCAGTAAGCAAAAATCAAAATGGCTGAATGTCAATGAAGCCGAAAAGCGAACAGCAAAAGCACATGTCATTTCAACTCACGTTGTCAATGATGGAATTTCCGTTGATTCGGCTATCACACTGGTACAGTCTGTTGATTTTGCGAATATCTCCATCAGAGAAAGCTACTCGCTGTCCCATTCGTTCTGAGCCATTCTGTGATAGAGTTCAATCGGTAATTGATGATGAAACATTGGTTATGCTTACCTTGCGAGCTACGATTGTCTTCTTACCAGATCCACTGAAAGCATAAGGACCATAGTGCATGATTGACACATAGTCGTATGGCTCATTCAAATGATCAATGACGTTCAAATTGTATCTGCAATTGACAAGTTATTCGCGGCGAATCACATCATTCAAATACTTCTCGAACTGATCATCAGCTCCGTTCATTACATTTCTCCAGAGGATGTCTATGTACTGATCACGATCTTGTCTGAAGAATCACTCAGTTCCATTATTGTAAATAGAGATTTCTAGTTACCTGCTCTGCTCGTGGAAGAATCCAACAGCATGCATAAGCTCATGAACTATGGTTCCTACTTGAATACATCCAGAATCTAAGCTCAAAGGTTGACGTCCACCAGTCCTAGAAATTCAAATGAAAAGGATTTCTTTCATGTATTGTAGTTAGTTATAAGATGTTCTCTTCCTATGAAGAAGCATTGTCAGTTGCTTCATCGTGCTTTTCGTACATGTAACAAACAGAGTACGAAAGGGCACGAACATGCACGACATTCATAAAGAAGTAAGAAAGTTGTAAGATGATTGAGTTGGAGAGAGTACGCAAAGAGAAGAGAGACTTGTTAAGTACGCAGTAAATACAAACAAGAAAAGGAAAAACCTACTTTCCAACCAAACTATAACATCCATCATCAGGATGAATGTAAACGTAGTCATTGTGTTTGGTGGGATCACGAGGCACAAAGCGTATACATGTCTTATCGTGGTATTCCTTAAGATAGTTTACTTCCTTATAAGGATTCTGATGTGAAAGCATTACCTTCATAGCTTTAGCAATAACAGATCGAGCATATGATCCATATTGAGAAGATAGTGTGTAAGGAATCTCGGCATTTGGCCAACGTCTAGATATGTCTCAGATGAGAACAACGTGAGAAGAGGAAAAGCTGAACCTGTAGCCTTGACGAATAGCATTTCTTCCTAATTTGTTATTCTCATTGACAAAGTCTTTGATATTATCAATGGCTATATCACCTTCCATCTTATTACCCATGGTTGGATCATCTTTTACTTTGATACCTTGAAAAGGGCGATTGATATGCAAATTTTTTAAAAAAAGTTATTAATTACCTAATTTGGTTACATCAATAGACTGATGCTCAATGTGGCTAATGAAGTCAGATTCACTGAGAGTTGTCTCAAACTCAGGATTTGCTTTGTCGACAACCTAAGAAGAGAATCATAAAGTGTGAAGAGGGGGTGAAAGCATTGATCATCATACATCTTTAGAGGTGAGAGTAGCTGCTGAACGGCAGATCGTCACAAGTTGTAAGAATACGAAAAGACCAGTAAGGATTTTGAGATCAACCATTTCCTTAAAGAAGTAAAATTGAGAATGAACAAAAAAAATGAATTTTTCAAGAAAAAGTTTGGTGAGAAGAGTGCTCTAATGACTCTTTGAAGAACATCGATGGCAATGTAAGATTGAAGGACAGCTTGAGGTCAATCAAACAGTCGCAAGTGTTCAAGAATATTTCAACTGAAAGGTCGCTATGAACGCAAAGCTTATGTGTGATGGGAGAAGCTTCTCAGACGGTCATCTTATAAGCTGAGATCGCTCAAGAGGCGGAGCATAGAGCATTCTTTACGAAAAAGGAAGAACAAACGGCTTAACAAATAAAAGCTTAAAATGTATGTAACGAAGTGAGGAAGTAGAGTTCTATATATGAATAAGATCTCCATCAAATAAGAAAACAGTTGACGTCAACATAGATATTGTTCGTGACGTTCTTAAAATAATTGGATCGGTCAGAGCTTAATTGCAAAAAAGGAAGGCGCGCCACTGCTGCTTCGTCATTTAAATGTATTTGGTCAAGTCTGAATCATAGTTGAGATGACCTAACTACTAGCACGTAACAAATCTGCTACACGTAATTGTACAAACTAGCTTCTTACATTCTCCTTTGAAGCTTCAAAGTCAAGATGTTCCGTTTGTAATATTATAAAGACGATTGTTGTCGAGATTATGAAGGTCATCTGAATGCCAAGTACATTGCAATCGACAATTGGTGGCAAATCAAAAATGGATGTGACAGACTAATGGCTGCAAAACTATTTGAAGAAAGTCATAAAAACGAAAAGAGGAACTAAAACTTATTTTTTCTTCTTTGAGCTATGATGATGATGAAAACAAAAAATAAATTTGTGGCAAATGGTCAGGCAGTCGAAATCAAACGATCAGCTGGCAATGAAATTTCAATCGTTTAGTTGTTCTCTTCGTTTCTGAGACAAGAAAGTGAAATGTGGACGACAATTCAATAGCAGAAGCTCATATGTAGAAAGAACATAACAATCATCAGCTTCTGATGAAAGAGAAAATGAGATGGAGACAAGCAAATGATTGGAAAAAAAGAAGAGAATGAGAGTACTACCAGTATGGAAGAGAGAGAGGTAGAAGGCGAACGCATAAGTCAGAACGATGATTGCCATGGGGCATATAAGCTAATCGGATCAGACACGATACAAGGTAAACGAGTTAATCAATACAAAACATATAATACGAGAGTTTCGAAAGTCGCATAGCTGGTTGTTATGCCATCAACGGTAGACAAGTAATTGAATGATGATGAAAAGAGAAGAATTGAACTGATCTGATAAGTGACAATCATAAATTCAAATGTTCAAAAGCTTCATCATCATCATCATCATCAATTGGTATGAAGATCTTCAAGCTGAAGAACGAAATGGTGCGAATGAAACTGAATGAACAAGGAAAGACAAAGACAATTTTCACAAACATATGTTTATTTGTTTGCCTCTTTCACCTTACACCCAACCATACCACTCATAAAGTTGAAAGCTTGAATGGCCTCGTTTTCAGACAGACCGCCTGAAGAGAAGAAGCATTTTTCCCTTTTTTTTTAAAAGAACTTCATTAAGCGTTAACTGGTTCTTCATGTATAGCGGTAGTTGAGGCAATTGGCGCATGAATTAAAGGACTAAAATGAAAGAGAACGGAAGAGAGGTGGGGTTGGTGCGAATAGGCAGACTGATGACAAGAATGGCAAGCTGTTGTTACAAACAAATATAAAAAATGAATTTTGTTCGTAACCTGCCGGAAGATACTATTCGAGAGAGAGATGAAAGTCAGTTCAATTCCAGCTGCTTTTGCAAAACGGCCAAAATCAAGACTCCCATTTTTGAGGGATTTTCCAAGAATTGCCAATGAAACTAGAAGGTCGCATCAGAATCAGTTGGTGGAACTGAGGACGTCGAGTGCGGTGAAACAAATCGGCTTCAATCTGGTGAGCTCAAGTGAAAGTTTTTATTTGAAAGCAAAAGAAAACGATCAAAGTTCGATGCTCAATAATGCCTTTTACGTACAAAAGACAGTCCATTACCGAAAAAGGAAATAAACAAATTTGATTTTCATTTGAATGAAATTGTTTTTTCCTTATATAAATTCTCATTTTGTTTGTAAATATTATCCCTCATATTCTATTCATAATACTGTTTATGCTAATTAAACACATAACGTCAGTCAGTCCACACGTGACTTCCACGTAAAGCTTATAGGTGCTAACGGACGTTATTTTACTTGTTGCAAAGGCTGTGAACGGTTGTGGCTAATTCATTCTCTCTCTCTTTCTATTTCTTTCTTCTTCTTTTTTCTTCTCTCTTTCTCTCTATCACTTTCACCTCTCCTCTTCATTTCATCCTCCTCTCTTTGTCTGTCTGTGTGCCTTTTCCGCTTTCCTTTCGCTCTCATCTCCTTCTACTTAATTATAATTCCTTTTAACAAATCATTACTTTGAAGTTAAACAAACTTTCTGAAAAATACACAAAACAATCAAAATACTTACTTTTCGTACTCGTTTTCCTTTTTTCTTTTGTTTGAACAATTTATTAACGTGTCAAAACGCCACTGACCATTTCCTTTGTTAATCTTTCCCTCTCTCCATCACCTTCCCATCGCTTTCTCTTTCTCTTTACCTGTCTCTCCTTTTCTATTCTACTCTATCATCTTACATACACATACACACATTTTTCATATAATAGTTCAAGACTTACTCCAAAACGTTCTCATCGAACTTCCTTCCCTGTAGACGACTGTAGAAGGGAGTAATATCTTTTCAATTAGTAACGGATCTCTGTTGTCGGTCACACGCCAGTGGATTGCGCTTCTTCCTTTTCTCCATTTTAATCCAATGTGTCAATTGTTAAACTTCAAAACTGACCCCGATGAACGTTACTATCTAATGTCTTCCGAGAATGAATCGGACAAGGTAGGGAGTACTCCGAAGCAAAATCACAAAGTTATAATATTTAAAACATTTTTTTAACAAATATTATATACATTATCTAACATAATATAACAAAAAAAACAAGCTAATGAGCATATATGGACATGACTGAGATTCGAAAGTATTCCACGAGCAGAGGAAACAAGTAAAATAAGTTAAATTAATTAAAATATATTCTTAATATTATATAGGAACTAGTATCAATGACAGGATACGGGTCTTGCCATTTACGCTAAAAGCTTCACATACCAGCAGTAACAGCTCAAGCTACCTCTATAATGAGAAAAAAAGTAAAAGAAAGAGAGAGAGAAAGAGAGAGAGAGAGAGAGGGAAAGAGAGAACTAACTAATAACCCGTATCAATTAAATACAAAACATTCGTATATAACAATGGAAAGTCGTACATAGATGATATGTATACATGTAAGCAATGAACACTTCTTTGATCGGAGGAGATATTACACACAGAGACTGTATGCGCTTGATGGATATCTTCTGATTGTATCAAACATAATTCACAGTTCATGATGAGCTTCTTTCCTACTTCATTTACACAAGAAGTAGATAGTTTAGAATGCTACATCAGTATCGCTCGTTTCCTGCTCTCCATCATACTCATCCGTGAGTCTTCGTTGACGTCGATTCGGCACAAATAAACGATCACCTACATCTGCTTCACTGTCCGATGAAATAGGAATGATTGGCTCTCGATTTGGGCAGTTCGCATGTCGCCTCCTTAAACCAAGAGCATTTAATAACGTCTTCAGGATGTATCTTCTTACGCTGAGCTATGATATGAGCTGAAGCTGCCATGTCGTTTGGAACTCGGCTTAGCTCGACTAACACCGGAACGGAAGCTTGAACTAGGAGAGAAATGACGAACTGGTGAACAACAGGCATCTCGTCTGAAGCCAAAACGGTTCAAAAAGTTCTATGAGGGATAATTGCTGAAAGCGGGACCAACTCTACGACTACTAAAGGGTTAACTAACCTCGAAACAAACTCAGTAGTTTGCTCAACTCCAGAAACACCTGAATCAGCATCATCGTTTATTACATTATCAGTGGAAGTTGTACGGTCGACAACATTCTTATTATATTCTTTCTCTTTCTCTTCGATAATGATCTGAAGACAAGAGGTGAGATCGATTCTGGAGAAGAAAATAAACATACAGAGTTGGTACGCTGAGCCGAATGATGACGATGAGACTGATTACAACCTGATCCTTGGCCAGCATGACATGATCCCCCTGATGGAATAATATTGAAAAGTTCAAATGATCGATACTAAAATAGAGCAAAGTTATTTTAAGATATCTGTTTGATGTGTACTTTGTTGTTCTCATCCAAGTAGTGGAATTCGTACATTGCTTCATGATGTCTTGTGTATGTAATGACATGTTCCAAACTGTCCTGTTCATTACCACAGGTCCAAGCTGGGTCTTGTGCCAAGTTGTGATTGTTTTTCGATAAAGCCAACTATAATAAATCATGTGAGCGGTTGTAAAACTGAAAACTACATACAGATCTTCTACGGTCGCGTTCTCTCAGAGCAGCTGATTCCCTCAAAGCTTCAGCACTTGGTTCAATTATAAATTCTCTCGAGTGACTAGGCTGTTGATTATAGGGTTTGTGCTCAATTTCTGTCAATGCCGCAGAACAGGAGAACCTATTGTACCGAGACTTTTGGAATTCGATTTCGCCCATAATGAAGTCAACGACACTTTGCAACCTTTGAACAAGCCATTCGGGTGCGATAGCTTGCGCAGCAATTGATAACAGGCTGAAAAAAAAATCAAACTCTATATAGAGAAATGCAAGAAAGTTAACATACTTTTGGGCAAGAATGAATGTCATATCCAAAGGTAATTTACTGATTCCCATTGCAGTTCTGGCAATGCGAACGATCTTGAAAGATAACAGAAATTGGAACATAGATGTCTCAGCGGCTACGGCATCGTCGAAAGCTGAAAACAGAGATTGAAAAGAGTTTTGGAAGCACAAACATACTGGCTCTGAGAACCTTTGGAAAATATTCACTAATATCAGATGGATAACGATGTTCAGTGCTTTCACAGCAAACTTCGCATTCACTTGGCTCCATTCTTCTCCTTTAATATTGTTATGTTCGTTTTGATAGAATAAATTATAATTCTTACGTCCCCCTCGTGCTGGTGAGGCGACTTCTTTCTGTTGTTTGTGGGCTCGGACCTTTTCTTCCATCGGCAGGTATAGAAATGATGCCAGTTATCAGCTGATCGAAGTTAGTTTGAACTGTCAAACAACGGATACAAGGTGCCATTCCTGTCAATTTGATGTGTTATTCATAGTTCATTAGAATCACAAACCATTTCTGGCTAAAAATCTGAGTGCATCTTCGAATCCTTGCAAACACATCTTCGAACAATCTTCTGTTGATGGTGGCATCAAACAAGCTGTTAAACGGAATAAATTGCGCGTAGTGAAACGGATGGATGTATTAGAAAAACTAATTCCGAATAAGCTGAAAGACAAAATGTATCTTTTGTTCATTATCTCTTTACACACCTCGCTGAATCCCAATCAAGTGGACAAATGTCGGATTCCCCGGAAAATGGGCTAACAGAAACAGAATGATGATCATAGGCCGGCTGATTATCTGTGAAGCCGCCATCAATGTATGCAACTCCCCTGAATGTGGGTGCATTCAATCCACAATATACAGGAATGAAACAACTGCATATGATTGCCTGTAAAGTTGTTATTGTTTTCAAAGTAACACGAAGATCACGTACATCGATGAGTTCTTCATTCGAATCATATTCATCTACAACAACATTCTTATTGTCGTCCCATCGAGTTAAGGAAATCTGTAGTCGTTTGTTACATCTGAAAAAATAATTTTCTAAATATAATACATTTGAAACGGGATTTGATAAGCATGCGTTTAAGGATCACGACGAACAGGCTTTTCAAGCATATAGATGAAGATATGAAGTGTGAGATTACAGGATCAAAGAGACTGAATGAGAGGAGGAAGAGAGAAGGACCTACAGTTTATAAGCATTTGAAGGTAATGTTTTCTCCAATTCTTCTCTGACTAAGCCGAGTAAATTGAAAGCAGGATGTAATGGTCCCAATGATCTTGAGCGAGCCTGTAACAAAAAACGAGAATATATTTAACAAAAATCTTAAAAGTGATAACAACTTGAAAACTTTGTAAAAAGCATTGTGTACTAAGTAACTATAAATAGAAACTGAAATATATATATCAGCTCTTATCACTCAGAAACTGATAAACGTTTTTCACTGAAACGACATAAAACTAAAATATGAAAAATCAATCCTCCTAAGTGATTTAATTGAATAGAATGAACTATACGATTTTAAAAGTAGTTCTAGTGAGATAGCAACTGATAAGGTCAATGGAACAAGGATGTTCTAATTTGACAACTTTTAAAGAAGAAAGCAATATGTAGAAAGCTTCTCTCACCTGCGTTACTATTTTCAAGATTGTGCTTGTAGCTTTTGATATACACACGTCACATATTAAACCCGCAGCAACAATTGAACCGGCTGATGCTCCACATATCTTATTCTGAGTCAATTGAGGTGCATATTCCTTAATGATAGAGTCATGTTATGATGAAATCAAGAATAATGATAATACCTTAATTGCAGCAGCTACTCCTGCATGATATATACATAAAAATCCACAACCAGAAAATGATAAATTCATTTTCTGTGGAAAACTATTAACCATCGTCATTGTGAGGCTGTAATACATATGAATTAGGAGATTGAAACTTTGATTAAAAAAACAAATGAAAGAGAGTACGAACGATAGAGAGAGATAGAAGAGAGAGAGAGGGAAACTAACAAGAACATTTGATACTTTCATAAGCTACTGTTTGACGTTATAGAAAGACAAACTAATCAAAAAAAATTCCAAGAAAAGTGATAAGACGGACATCTATAGGCGAATCAATTCAAATACGTTCTGGAATTTAAAAATGAAACAAAAAGAAAATTAAAAATGTAAAGAATGCAACCGCATGGCCATTCAATCAAATTTCCAAATAATTTTTCATTTTCAATTGAACAGGCGTGGTTCCGTCACGTGAAATACGTGAAACAGCCGGTCGGTTTACTTTTCATTTCACGAATGGCTCATTCAACCGCAATCATTAATTGTTTATAAAGTACTCCGATTTGGTAATATTAAAGATGTTTATGATTATTATACAAGAAATATATTTCGAAACACAAATATGAGGAAATGAGCATGCGATATGACACATTGGCGTTTCGAAAATACACGCGCAGCATATGTATTTACAAACGCACTTCTTGCTTCAACAACAACAATATTCAGGCATATGCAGAAGGAGAAGCTTTTGATATGGACACGACGAAAAGACCTGCTGATTGATTTTTCTTTCAACAAAGAACAGAAAAGACAGACAGAGAGAGAGAAAGAGAGAGAAAGAGAGAGAGAGAGGTCATTTCGAACTGTTTTCAAATAGAATGCCAAAACTACAAAATTGGTGGTGATAGAAAGATATGGGCTGATAACTTGATCGCCTATCGAAAAACGTCGGGTAAAAGGTTGGCGAAGTTTGAATTGTGATAGATAAAAAGATGAAGACACAATAATACATGTATCCAATCATTTATAATCTTAGACGAGAAGAGACACCACCTAACTCCTATCTGCGATCAATTGTTGGGCACGAGAAAAGACAGGCGTCACTTGAATCAGCAGATGAAATAAGATGAAGCTTATTATTATAATATCCATGCTTCACGAACGTAAAGAGGAACTGTTTTGATACTAATGTCATTCAGCAACATGCTGATTACAAAACCATCCTAGCAATAACCACATTCTGCTGTTCATCATTCTTTCGAAATGGAACAGTTCGCTTAAAGGCGTATTAGGAAACTCAGAAAGCAATCATACACACACACACACACACTACTCATCGGGAGAAAGTCAAACCACTTCATATGACAACGTTAGCAAATCTGGTTCAATCATTGGTTATATCCTTTAATGGTTGACTGATTAGCTCATAAGTATGCAGGTTCAACGCTTTTCTCTTTCATTTCTGATTTTTGACGTTTGAAAGCTACCTCGAGTGTGTATGTGTGTCAGGAACGTCATTAAGCCAAAAAAAAACCTTGAAGGTAACGAAGAGATAATGAGAGAGAGGGAAAAGCATACATGCATACAAAGAGGTAAATGAGAACAGAGAGAGAGAGAGAGAGAGAATGAGAGTGAGAGAGATACGTGGCGAAGACCATATAATTTGATGTACTTGGTAGAAAACACGTGAAAAAGTACATTAACAGTTCATAAACAAGCTGGAATGAATAACGACTTCTGAAGCTTCATCTTCCTCTCTCTCAGACAAAACCGTTAGCGAGAAGACATTAAAGGCTAGGAAGTATCAAAGTTGAACTGATGAAGTATTGAAGTAGAATATAATAAGCAGAAAACATTAGGGCAAGGAGACCAAAATTCGAAACACATTTACAACAAGTTGGTTGGAGAGATGAAAATGATAGAAAACCTGTTAAAATTCATTATTAACAGGAAGACGAATAGGTTGAGTCAAGTTGAAAGCTGGTTGACCGTTCAGGACGAGTTGTACTGGGCAAAGGAGAACAGACCAAACAGTTGAGGAGGTAAAAGCTGTTATCTCTGAATAGTTAGTGCAAAAAAGGTGAAAGAAAGAAAGTGAAAGTTCATTTATGAGGTTAATGAAGAGATATATAAAGGTAGAGAGAGGGAGAGAGGGAGAGAGAGAGATGGAGCTATGAAGAAGATGAAAGAAATATACTGAGAGGGATTAGACTATCAGAGAACAGAATGAGAGTCGTAAAAATGAAAATTATCACAAGATTCTATAAATCAGTCAGAAAGGGCGACAGTTTGAAAGAAAGACGAATATAAAAAAGAAAGACAAAATTGATAAGATTAAATGTTATAAATGATCACACAGCCAGCATTGCCAACACGTTGTTATATCAACAGTTGATATGTAAGCCTCTCTCACTCTCTCTCTAACTTCATCTATCACCGCATCAGGTTTTACCCTAAAATGGACATTTACGTGCTCCGCCTACTTTTCATGAAAAAAAAAAGAGAAAAAAAAAGAAAAAGAAAAGTCGCATGGGAGATATATGAAACAGAAGAAACAGCATGTTAGGATATACGCAAATGACTATGCAGCTAAGTAAGTAACGAATGACATTATGAAGACGATGAAGGAGATAGTGTGAAGTAGAGAGTATAACAATGACCGGAATCATCATGGAATATGCAACCATTCCATGTGTGTCTGCTGAATATGTGAAGCTGACGCATACATACAACTTGCTGATTGAGATGAATCAGCACAAACAAACAAACAAACAAGCAGACAACAAGCACATACATGCAAACACACAAAAAACAAACAAAAACAAACAAAAAAATGTTATAAAAATAATAGAAAATATATGTAGAAATGTGTGAGCCTTAAGGAAAATTCTGGCATTTACCACTTATGAATATGCTGTCGGCAAGTTCTAGACGGTTCAGGTAAAAGGGCGAGCAAGTTGATCTTATGGTACTCTTCCTTCCTCTTTCTCTCTAATTCTCTCATTCTATCTCTCTCTTTATGTATTTCTGTGTTATAAGGATTAATGAGGTCATAGCTGCACCCGTGATATATAACAATCTTTCCCACCAAATATGGAATGAGTACGAGAAATAATATATCAAATGAATCAAGTTAGTTAGTAGAAAAAAACGAAATGATTAGTTAGAAATTGACCTTAGTTGTGGTGAAGATGATGATGACGATGATGAAGATGATAATGGTTGAGGTGGGGGGGGGGGTTAGAGAATGGTAAGAAGAGGGGAGGAGAGTTGAGTTGGGGGGGGGGGGAAAGAAGGAAGGAAGGAAGGATGGAATGAGAGGCGTGGAACATCAATCCATTACTACTCTCTTTCTATAAATATATTTCACAATAAGACAACATATGATATGAACATTCAGTTAAATGATAAAGTGCAATCATGAAAAACAGTATGAGCAATGATTGCTAACCATAACCATTGATATAGTTTAATAATTGAAATTATCGAAATATTTATTATCTATTATCATATATACATAATAAGAAGCTTGTTCAGACTGTGAGATGTTCATCAGAAGGAAACGAGAGGTGCTGTTGAAAAACATCATAATAATATTTTGTTCTCTGGACTCTATTACAGAGAGGAAGGTGTGAGGATGGTAGGGTTATGGAAGTATAAGCTCATGACTTAAGTAGGATAGGTTATCTTGTATCTCATTTAGCTTACAGAGAGACTTACTTATGACAGTCATCCCAAACTATATTGTAGTTTAGTATACAGACAATGAGAGAGAGAGAGTTAGAGAGGGGTGAGACAGTATGTGTTTGCAACAGATTGTATTGAAAACTTGCATGAAGCTCAAGAGATGAAGGATGAAAGAAGTGCGAGAGGAACGGAAGAGAAAGAGACAGGTTCTATGTATCAAATGTGTCTGTGATCAAGGGGTAGACAAGACAAAACACGTGGAAAATGAAGACACAAATAAGAAAATATGGTGTCACATGTGTTTTAGAAAAAACGAAATAACCAAAACATTGTAAAATAGTTTTGGTTCAAACAAATGCCCTTCGCTTTCCAATTTTCAACTTTTTATAACATTTTGCAGACATCTATGCTGGAAGTCAGCTTCAAAAGAAGAATAGAAAGAATGTAAGATTGATAATGTCAAACCACGTGCAAAGTCATTAAAAAAATTTTCTCGTTCTCTCTTTCGATCACAAAAAATGTATCTCATTCTCCCTCTCTCTCTATCTCTCGTTCTCTCTCTCTCGCTCTCTCTTATTGGCATCAGGAAGTCTAGAAACTTTGCTACATTATCAGATGTCATCAGATTGATTCTTTTCAATTCTCAAGCACATGATGCTTCTTCCAGTTCCTAAATACAATAGAGAGGAGAGCAATAATGGTGATAAGCGCCCTGCAGAAACAACGTAGTCAGTTGAACAACCCAGCACGAAAAAAGAAAAGAATAATCACATAAAGAAAAAATAATCCAAGCATTATCAAATGAATGATGAATGAGTGCAAGCATGACCGAGAAGAAGCTCTCACAGTTTGAGGATTCTCTTCGCTTTGCCCAAATTGGGATGATGTTTCCAATTAAGGATCAAAGTAGCCGCTAAACGTGCAAATCTTTAATGAAAAAGTCTTTAATCTTCGAGATAAGCACTACAGCTGGCCCACACTCTTCAGTCTACAGAGGGCAATGCAAAGGCTATGCAAGAGAAATGGATAAAATAATGAAGAAGACGCTAGTCCTTCCTCTGTCCATCTCTTTGTCTCTTCATCTCATCTGTATTTCTTCTCACACGTTCTGATCCCTCTGACATGATGCAATGATCTATGACAGTACGATCGAACCATTTTCTCTAATAAACTAAACTCTCTGAACCTCTCAATCAATACATACAGTCACCCTTTCTCACCCCATATACAACGAAAGCGGGAGAGATACAAGACAACAGGTGTATTCCAACTGAGAATATCTTCATCTTTCAAGCTTATCTCATTAATATCAAATATCTCCGTGAAATATGACGATGACACCTTGTCATTATGTAAGAATCTTAATTAAAAGTGAAAAAAATGACAAGAATCTTAAAGAAAAAGGATTTTGCTATGCCATCAGTATGATGCTAATCTATGATAATAAAACAGACAGGCACAGATGAACGGACGGTACGTTGAGGATAGCGTAGAAGGCCAACGTAACTATATTATATCATTTACCGGAAATGATTTGGAATAAGTTAAGAATAGGATATGTGTGTGTGTTTCAAACACGATGCGATAAGAACCCAAATCAATGCTAAGGCAATGAAACAAAAAAAAATCACAGTATACCCATTTTGTACCTAATAAAATAAGAGAAAAATCTCATCAAAACAAATAACATGGAGGGAGCACCGAAGAAAACATTCGATTAATTGGACTTTTGAACTGATTTGACTATTTAAGCATAAGAGGGGGAGGAGGGTCGATAGACACTAAAGTAAACAGAAGAACGGTCAAAAGTAAATCTACTACCCAAACCATACACTCTGACACTCATACACAGAAGAAGAAGAAGACAGGTGGTGGCCATTCACATATCTACTAAATGTGGCCTGATCATGAGTGACCTAATAGAATAGTCGAGAAGAGTTGTTGTAACAGTTTTGAAAACAGAGTTAAAACTCGAACTGTTTTTCTCATGAACTGCTAGCACGATTACAAACTACAGCGATCGACTGATGCATAGCGATTCCGGCCAAAAATTGGCACAAATTCGAATGTACGATGGCAGCATGAACTAAATTCTTAGTTCTCTCATCGTCACGCACAGTTTCTAATGGTTCAGCAGCTTTGTGCATGTGATACCTCAACGAATCATTGATTAGAGTTGAGTCCAATGTGCAAAATACCTTATAGGATTTCTACGTCCGGAAGCACCGAAAGTTTTCCCACGTAAAAAGGCTGGAATTTGAGGAACTGAGTCTTCTCTTGGTGATTCACCGTATCTTGAAATTGATAAGAATGTTTAATGAAAAGAACAACTACAGCATACCTCGACCCATCAGCCCATCTATCAACACGTTCCGCCCGAGCATTCAGTGTTTTCAGAGAACGCGTGACCCACGTGTTTAAACTTTCTACGGAAGCGGTTTGATGATCTAAGCGTTCTTTAAGATTTGCTAGTTTCTGGGAAATGAAAATACAGAAACGAAAATGGATTTTGAGATACCTTAAGTAGAGATGGATATTCATCAGAAACGTTTTTGCCAAAGAATAAAATAGCTAATATTGGTTGTGGGTAAGCGGCTAAAGAAGCTATAGTTGATGCTAATGAGAGATTATACAGCAGAGAGTGTTCTGACATCCGTTCAAGCTCACCGAGTAAGCACTCGATGACGAATGGTATTCCTAAATGTACCTTTTAAAACACCGGACTGTAACGTGTGAAATACCCTTTGCTTCTTGTACAAGTCTGCCTGTTACATCAGGTTTCATTTCGGGTTCAGCAGGAGCATCATCTGCAGTTTGAACAGTGTTGTCATCTTTTCCTTGATCAAGTTCATTCCAGTATTGAAGGCGAGAGTCCAGATAACTGTTGAACTCGGTTATAGAAGTGTTTGCTGCATCTTTGGTCAAACTTTGAGAATCAATCATAGCAATGAAAGCTTCGTCCTGAAACAAAGAATGTTTCACTGTTAAAGTGTTATTCAAATTCACATCCAGAGTTGACCATCCAGTCAATACAAATGATTTTGCCATTTCAACATCTGGGTCATAAGTTCTTTTCTCTCCGTTCGAGTCGTTTTCCGAATCCAGTGAAACAGAATCCATTTTGCATTTGGACTTTTCCTGCGATAGCATCATTTTGGCTTTCAACTTGCATTGTACCCACTTTTCTACCAGGACTTCCTGGTGACTCTTCGCTATCAGAGGTATCGTCGAAAGCGGCAAATTGGAAATAATCGACCATAGATGATGTCATTATTGAGGACGTACTGAAACGTTGTAAAACAACATTTTTATAGTTCCAATACAACTACTCACTGAATGGGAGGTAGGACGAATTCGCTGTCTTCTTGAACTTCATCTGTTATATCTTCCAGGGATCCTAACCCTGTGGGAGATTCACCTAACCCAACCAAACGACCTGAAAACGTATTGTATTCAGCTTTTCGCTCATAGTACCAGAATAGGGCGTTGTTGAATCTGCTGTCAAATGAAAAGATCTGGAAGCAAAGTAGCGGTTCAAGCCATGAGCAGCCGAAGACATGGAAGATCTGCATGAATTCAATCGAGAAAATGACTGAAACGGAATTCTATTCGATTATCCGAATATGAGCAACCAACGTTGTGAGCATCATCATCACTATCTTCCCGGAAGGAGAGATAAGAAGGATGAACACCGTCATATTTCCATTTCCACGAAGAAGACGAATAAGCTCGCTTTTCAACTATCTGAGCTCCTTCTCGTAAGTATACTTGGAGAGTATTTTGAGAAGAAATCTGAACCACGAGAAATTAAAAAAATTCATTTTTCATAGCTACCTCAGGGAATGATAACATCATGTCCGGTATGCATGCTAAAAACTCATCAGCCAAATCAGAAACATGTTTTGCATCTCGTAAGAGCTGTAGTTGATTCTTTGAGACATGAGGGAGAGATAGTAGATAACGGAACGTTAAAACTGTAAACAAATTATGAGGAAAAGAAGAAAAAGGCACAACCGAACTGTACGCGTTCGTTGTTGAAAATGAAAAAAATTAGAATTACGTGAAATGCGTGATACACGCATCACGTCGACGCGGAATTGCTAACTCAATATGCTAATTATCAAAAACTCACACAGCATCAAATCCTCACATCCTAGCTGAAGCAGACAGTCTAACAGTTGAAGAGAAGTCAATGCTAACTGTAATAAGGAAAATGCAAGAGGAACATTCATTCGTACTCTACCCTGTCAGTTCCTCGGATCCTATTTACAATGATATTTAGTAAAATGTTATTATCATCATCCTTCTCCACAAGAAGCATCCTTATAATCATTTTTATTAGCTTAGCTTCCGATATAGCATCGATACAGACTTGCAGATAGGCTGTTGAAGCTGCAACAGCTTCTCTTTCTTCCTGCAAAAGAACTATCCAATTCAGCCGTGGATTTTGATCACCTGTAACAAAGCTGGTTTGACAACTGATATCAAAAATCCAGAATAAAAAAATGAACAAATTTGTTCGACAACGTAAGGGTGAGCCGCCTGGAAAGATTAGCTTTCAGAAACAAAGGGATTTTTTCTCTACCTGGACTACAGCGTTGCAGAAAACAATTGAGGAATGGAAATTGGTTAGAAACTCATTAAAATGGTCGGGTACAAGCCTATCCCCTCCTTCTACGGACAATATTCTGGGCAATTGGGAGAAGCATCCCGAAAGTCCTGTAGCAACGACCGGACAGAAAGCACTCTGTACTTCAGTTTAGTAAAGCAGAAAAAGAACAGAAGACTCACTTTTTTTGATACAAACTCAGCTATCTGCTCATGCTGTGAGGACACAGAAAGAATGCGAAGTAATGCATCTCGAGCTAGTTGTCCTGTGTCGTTTTGTTCATAGAGGAAAGGTATTAATAGTGAAAAAACAGCAAATTGATTAGCTCCATCAGCACAGGAGAAGAAGAAATGCAGAAGAGTTCTATCTTCTGCAAGTTTTGCGCAGATCTGACAAAGAATGAGTTCTGTTGTATTCTTAATCTACAAACCTGATGAAGAAGAATTACAAAATGCTTATCTCTAGAAGTTAGTTGAGTATGATTAGAAGGATGGAGTAGTTCATCTCTTTTGCACCTGAAAGGAGCATCAAGTGATCGTGAAACGCGAAAAAGCGAATACCAATCGAACAGTCTTAATAAGGGATGGAGGATTGGCTTATGAACAAGTAGACAGTGATTTTGAGTATGGCTTTCGCTAACAATTTCTTCGTAAATACGAATAAGAGAAAGTTGGCAAGCTGCTTTTATGAAATCTGGGATCTGAATAGCAAAATGCAGCACGCGTTCCATAATCTATAAGTCAGTAAACTTCATTGATTCTCTCAAGAAATAGAAAAACCTCTTGAGTGAAGTAACGATCTAGAATAGGTCCAATGGCTGGTTCTGGTTGAGCATTGGCTTCCATCATCAATAGCTTACACATATGAGATAGTTGCTTGAGTAGCTGAGCCATCTTCAAGGAAACAATAACGAATCAGATTCAGCTGTTAAAGTTTACTTGATCGTAAGTAATTTCTCTTTCAGGATTTCTCTCCTTCAGTTCAAGAATGGCATTTGCCTCCTTCCAACAGCTATCAAAGTTAGACTCCCACTGCGAAGGATCAGATGCAAAGGCGGCATTCCATCCCTGTTCTGAAGCAAATGCGTTGTAAGCCTGAATGAGATATCACTGACCATTTTTGGGAGATTCGGATCTTGAAGATTCTTCTCTACCCGGTGAGGAAGTGGAAGGTGAACCCAATCTGGAGAGAAATGAGAACATTCCTAAAAGTGGACAATAATGATGAGAACTAGGTAGACATAACAAAGAAATTTAAAAGTCAATAAACTTCTTAAAATGTTTCCAAAAAGGATTAAAAGATTCTCTCTTGTTAATGAAACAGACAACAGCACAACAACAAAAAGTTCAACATCCTCGTTTTTACAACAAAATGAATAACGAAATAACAAAAAACAATTTTTACAATTCGCACATATCGGTCAGTATTGACAACTTCGCTGGATGATAGTATTTCGAGGTAGAATTCCTTAACAGCACAACATTATTTACATCTACTACATCTTGTAACACTGCCAGAGGAACATAACCCAAGGCATATCCATGAGATGAGGCGAACGAATAATCTCCTCTGACTATTCGACCGATTGTTAACCTGTACTCGAACTTCGAATTGAGTTTTTTGAACTTTCACACCTGTTCGCAGAGTCCTTATACGTAACCGATTCTTTTGATAAACGCTCTTCTTCCAATCGTTTCAGACGCGATAACCTCTCAACCTTCCTTCTTTTTGCACAATCCTTCTTTTTCTTGTTCAACAGTCTTCTCTTGACCCTCCTAAAGTAGTCATGCAACTTCCGGTGAAAGAGAGTGCCACACCTATCAACAATTATTTTATCTGGGAATAGCATCTTCATATTGATTGGTTTCTCTCGTGTCGATGGATCCGTAGAAACTACTCCTTTCCACATGTCATCTTGCCATTTCTTCTTACTCTCTTTGACATCGACCTAATGAGAAGCATTCCAAACTTATAAATGTAACTCTGGGTTGAGAAAAAACCTCAGACGGTGCACATTCCATAGCTTCATCTCCGTTTGAGACTTCTTCTGTTTCTGTGTGCCTTGCTGGCTGCACCACTATAACAGGACCAATTGTATGCCTTCGTCTCACCTGAATTATAAGAGCAATATGTACACTAGGGAAACCGTACAAAATATTCCAAAGAACGAAAGTAGTTCAAACAAAAAATGACTCGTGACTTTTGAATTTTGGATGTAGTTGTCTGCTTAAAGAATATGAACCGACTGAACTCACTTTTTCCATGTCCTCTTTACGTGGCAGACATATCAAACCAAACTTCTTGGGTTTTCCTCGAGCTATGCACTCCAATCGAACTGGGACTAAGGAATTAACGTGTTCAGAAGTAACATCGTCTGAAATGAAACAACATTTAGGAGATATCCCATTTATGCATAAAAATACAACCGCTCACTACGTCCACACCATATAAATGAAATCCCAAACAGGATTGCCTGTACATCTCATATGTTAATAAGCCTTATCATTCCATTTCTTATTCTTAACTTGCAAACAATGTTTGCTTGAAGATTTATTTTAAATTTAATTGACACCTGTCTTGATACTAACATTGCCGTGCTAATGAACTCGATAAATTGTCACCGAATTGCACCAAGTATTGACTTAACTCTCCGTTTCCATGATATGTGCTCATTGGCCAATGAGAATCAGAGCCGTATGTTTCTAATTCACACCTTTCATTGTCGAAATAGTTTATCAAGTTGAGAGTTTCTACGTAAAACGCTAACGGCACTTCGACAAACACCAAAAGCGCTAGTGCTAATCGAGGAAAGTCCACATATGAAAAACTGGTTACTTGGCCTTTTCTTGAGCTGAGTAAACATGCCAATGAAAAAATGATTGGGTCCTCGACTATAAATGCTCACAGTTGCCGTAGATTCTCATCAAGCAACAGCTCGACTTCTCTCATCATGAACAAGTTGTAAGTTTACCACATCACATGCCCTTCAAATTCTTTAACTTTCAGCCTTATCTTCGCTATCGCATTCTGCGTTCTCGCTACCCAAACCGATGCTCAATTCTATTCTCCTTACGGATATTATGGATACAACGGACTCGGATATGCTTCTTCTTACTACCCATCAACTTATGGATACGCTAACTACTACGGAGGATACGGATACCCATCATACTATGGAGGATACTACGGTGGATATGGAAGCAACAAGGGATCCGCTAACTCCCAGCAAGCTCAAGGACCAGCCCCATCTTTGACCAACAACAACTCTCAGTAACTGCTTAATGAGAAACATCATTTCTTATCCAAACAACTCTGGAATTCCCTTTCTCACTTCGCCATGTTTCCTACACACTCGAATAAAATCTTTTCTTTCACATCTTCTTCTTCTTCTTGTACTATGAAGCTCACCTGGTACTTTGTTTCCTTTCAGTACAGATTGCTCAAGAGATCTCAAAATCCTGCGATCACGCAAAACATACGGTTCCTGATCTTTCTTATCTTTCTTCTGAAAATCTCCTGATTAAGTAGTCCAGGAGGGAAAAAAACCTTTTCCGCTAGCCATTCTTTGGTAAGTTCTTCGAATGAGTACGAAAAGGGAAACTTGACAGAAAGCTTCTCCCAATAATCAACTCTTCGATTATGAGGCCTTTTGAAGTATTTTTCCTAGAAATATCAAATGAGTTCAATACCAACCAATATTTCAACCTCAGATTCTTTGAGAATCCTTTTCAAGTCTTCAAATCCCGCTTTGCAATCGAAAGAATCGGCTGGGAAAGAGAGTCTTTTAGATTCCAAATGAGCAGCTTCGTCATCACGATTTCCTGAGGCATGTGCAGTGAAGTACTGCGCAGTTACCCAAAAATCGAGACCTGATAGACTTTATTGTACAAAAAAAAACAGCAAAAATCATTTATACCAAATCCAGAAGGAGTTATCAGCTCACAGCCTGTCAGAGTGTCACTGAATCCAGAACCAGTATTTCGAATCACAATCTGCACAGGAATTTTCGCCGGTGTCTCCGGAGTGTTCCCGACAGTTTTGCCGTTGAGCTGTTTCATCTCCGAATCAGTCAGCCTTAGAATACTCAGCTCTAGAAAATATCTCAAAAAAGGAGTACCTTTTCTCTAAAACTTCAATTCGTCCATCCAACGACCATAAACCTGGATTGGGTTTAGAAACTTCTGCAGGTTTTAGAGATTCAAGCAGATGTTCTTCAGGCACCTTGGAAGAAAATTATCAATGATTAACTATTTTCAGTCTCACAGTTCTTTTTTGTGGTCGAGCGGTTCTCGGATCTTCAACAAGTAGCGTGAAAACTGCTCCATCTTTAAGCTCTCCGCATTTCATGTTAGAAAAATAGGAGCGCCATTGGTTATGGTTTTCTCTTAAAAAAATATATATTCAGTCATCTTAGAAGTCAAGTAAACTGACTCATAACCAGTAGAATAAGGGATATCAACTAGCTTAAGCGTCTGAGATAAGACAGGCAAAGCATAGGGACCGTATAAACGTAGTCTAACCATCTGATCTTTCAAATCATTCAGTACTATTCCCTTCTCCTCATTTCGATATGTTACTGTTTGGAACTTCATAATTTTGAGTCTCCAATCTTCTTTAGTCGTGATAGAGGCAAGGTCCTGAGAGCGTGAAAGGTTTATACTTAGTTTGAAAGATGTTACCACAGGCTCCTCGTTCGTTTCAACTTTAGAAAGCCCTAATAAGGATGTTAAATGGTTTATAAGTTGATCACTGCAAAGTGGGTGAACCCAAAGAACCAATGTTGCGGTTTCGCTAAATTGTAGAATATCAGAGGAAGGAAGCGAGAAACTAACCCAGCTTGCACCCATTGTAAACGACAGGGTCCAATGAAACCTTGTGGGTACTTGTTGGGTTCATACAACATGGAAGAGATCTTAAGTTTCAAGTTTTTTATGCACCTGAACATCTGAACACCATGAACAAACCTCAGTTTGACAATTCAATGCAGCTTTCGCAGCAACAGTTAGACTTGCACGATTATCAAACAAGGGTTTCAGTAAGTTCATCAGCTCTTCTTGGGATGAATGTGATATCTAAGAGAGCCTATTTGAAGAGAAATTGAAAGTCTGCTTACAGTCATGCAATTCAAAAAACTTTTGTCTCGAATAGAGCAATGTCTTATTGCATCTCTATAACATGGCCTAAAGTTGCGTTGGAAACTTCTATCAGGTAAACGATAACCCCATCTTAACTTAACATAAAAAAGAATTGCAAGAACCTGAAGAACCTGTCTATCATATAGAATCGTTTCGCATGCCATATATGGGTTTCTAGCCATGTTTTAGATCTGTTTCTTCTTATATAATTCTAAAAAGAAACATTATAGGAGAATATTCAAACTATTTTTCAACTTGTAAGAGATTAGTGGGCCTTCTACGAAAAAACCTACTAGGGGGTTTCTTTCTATGCTTGGAAAGCTTCACATGAGCTGAGGCAAACGATCGGAGACCTTTAGGGAAACGCCGGATTTCGTAAGCCATAGCTCTCCTAGAATAATAACGTTATTCTGCTCATCTTCGGTTACAACAAGCACCTTCTCATATGCCTGGGTAATCGTTGAGCCGCAGTTCTGGGACCTTTCGTGACTTCTCCACTGACGAGTCGAGAGTTGTTGACCATCTATCGGACAACTTCATTGAAGAAAGTTTTTTTTTCAAACCTCAAGGAGTTGAGCAACTTGGACAGCTCTGTCCTCAACGTACTGCTTGATGTCGACGGCTCGATTAACATAATCATCACTCATCTAAGATACAATTGAGAATCCATGAAAAGGAGAACCTGAAGGAATGAAAGGATCTGAACCTCTTCTATGAAACAAGGAAAACGTGAAAATTTTCAATATTCACATAACAAAAACAAATAAAGAGCATCTAAATTACAACTAATTTCTTTTTACAACAATAGACGATCAAAGGATTTCCATCTTCTTCTTTTCCAGTTCGTTCAATTGAGCTGCTCGCCGTTCTTCGAATAATAAAGCATCCTGAAATAGCGAAGTTAGTTGATTGGGACCTGGAACGTGGTAACCTGCTCGAGAGGTTCATCTACAATCTCCTGAACGAGTAGTTTCTTCAACTCGATTTCGTCTTCGAATTCGTCTTTAATAACTCTTTTACCAGTTACAGGATCGACTATGTTTCCTTTAAAAAAATGATAAGAACTGAGAAATTGAGAAATCTTTTACCATATTTGAAGACAATCTTATCAATTGAGTGAGCGACATCAGCAGTCGGCCGAAGATTTCCTTCAATGCGCTTGATCATAACTGTATCTCCAAGACCTCCGAGATTTTGTCTACAAAAAAACTTCCTCGGAAAAGTTATGATAGAAGCACAAACTTGTCAAGAACCCAGTAGTCGGAAGATCGTGCAAAGTATTTTTTCAGATAAATGTTGAATTCATTGACGCTGCATCGTACCTAAAACCAATTACTTGATGAGAAAAAGCAGAAACTTGTTTACCTGAGCACATGGGATCCTATCAATTCCAATATTATTGAGCTTTATGATCTTTCCCATAAGGAGTTCTGTTCCGACTCTGGTACGGAAAACTGAGGTCTTCGGCATTTTCTGAGATTATCAGTGTTTAGAAAGGGTTAATAGTGAAGATCTGTGATATTTGATGGATTTAACCATGTGTCAAGATAGAAATAGCGTAGGAATGAGTTTATTGAATTAATAATAGTATTAAACAACCGGGCATATTATACAATACAAGATGAATTAGATCAGTTCGTTGGTTGATTTTGAGATGAACATGACATCTTATCAACTTTCTTCAATTGAGATGGATCTGAGACGGTGCCCATCCAATCAAGGAGTTTCATATCATGGGAAAGATCAACTATGCGTTTGCTGAAAACATATTTTAGATATTTCAGGAAAGCTTATACATACGCGTTTTCATGGAATTTGTCCAACTTTTCTCGCAACTGTTCTGGACGGACATCAGGAGGATCAGAAGGGTCTTCGAACGACTTCAAGAAATCTTCCGTTTTCATAGGTCGTTCAGTAAGTTTCTTATCGATTCTTATTCTAAAAACAATCTGTTCAAAACAACTCATATTCAGATGGTGAACCTGATCTCCGCTAACTTATCGAACAGCATCAAGCAGTAATCGACAACCTGATCAATGTCCTGACTTGGATTGTACACGCTTTTCTTATCAACGGTCTTCAGCAAAGTACTGATGGTGACAGTTCTAGAAAACCAAAGAGAGTTTAACACACAACGATCTGATTACTTATGATTGAGCTCATGGATTAGCTCTCTCGCGATATTGCACAACGATCCCACCGAATAGTTCTGGAGATTGTTCAGTACTTCTTGACTGTAAACCACCATGTGCAGGTTCCTTCGATTATTCTGAATGAAGAAACATTAAAGAACACATGAACTTCTTCAGCTTACTCTTGCAGCTAGAATTGCGGCTTGCGCAGGTGGAATAATAGAACTGCCTGGAGCTGTGTAGGGTTTGGAACTTGAAAAAAATTATTTCATAACGAAAAGATGGAAAAACTTACCCAGAAGAGTTGCCAAGCCCACTTGAATATATAGAAGGACCTTGTGCATGAGGGGCAGAAAGTTGTGGTTGATGATGAGGTTGAGCTGATGGAATAGGTTGAGATATAGGTTGGTGCTGAGGTGGATGATGTGGCTGATGGGGTTGTGGGATGTTTTGCGGATGAACTGGTTGGGACAACGGTGGTGCATTGTTTTGGGGATTAATCTGTTGAGGTAATCCTTGATGTTGTCCGATAGGAACTTGCGGAGCCTTGACATTCAAATGAATTTCGTAGAAAATTTCAGAAACTTACTGCTTGGGGAGGCATATTACCATAAGACTGCTGCATATATTGTGATCGCCCGCCATAATCTGTAGAGTAGCTGTGCTTAACTTGATGAAACTGTAACTAACCTCCTATTGGATTTTGTTGTCCATACATTGGTTGTTGAGGCATCATTCCAGAATGCTGAGGTGGAGGTTGTTGAGGAGCTGTTTGAGGCTGCTGCTGTGGACCTGGTGGTTGAGATGGTTGTGGTTGCCCAATGCCTTGGTGCGGTTGAGATGAGCCATGAGGGGGACCAACATTATGCTGAGAAGACATAGATGAGGGCTGCCCGATATTTCCTGACCCTGGCACAGACGGTGGACCTTGATAGCACATTTGCATTCCTAACAGGGTTCTTCAGCTGAGGCTTATTATATCAAAGTATTACCCATTTGATTGTATTGCCCTGAAGGCTGCTGTTGATAGTAATTCATAGGTTGACCCATTCCTTGTTGAGACTGCTGCTGCTGATTGGGTGGCATGTACCCGCCTCCCATAGCCTTGAAAAGAAAATCTAATAAACAGCTGAAGTTTTAATCGTTACCTGGTTCCCATGAGGAGGACCTCCTTGCTGCATCTCCTGAAACGACGGAATCACCATAAAATCGAGTAAAATTGAAGATTGAAGGTATGACTGTTAGTGAAGAACTCTTGGTGAAACAAAAAAGAAATAAAACATCCTGTATTTAAAACAACATAAATGAGATGATATGAAAGGGGTGAGAAATCATTTCTTAAGATCCATAAAAGGTGTGTGATATCATTGTCTTGAGATGTTGAACCGGTACCAACAAGGAAAAAAGTCAAATTAAAACATTTTACGGAATGAAAACAGAATCCAGGTTGTTCATCAATTCTTCACAGCTGCATCGTCAAGGAGTTGTCTAGCCTGAGTGAAAATGGCAACAAGTCCAGCAATTTGAACTTTCTCGGAGCATCCTTCTGATAGTTTCTCTTCACTATCTCCCAACGCCGAGACTATATGGATTAAGACCTGAACTACAGTGTAAGCTTGAACAGAATGAAAGGTGAAAAAACTGACTTGCTGAGGAAGATCTAATTCACAAACTTTCAGGTGGAGACGAGTAACGATGTCAGTCAAAGCAAATCCGCTAGAGACGCACAACTGGGTTAAAGCTTCAAATATAACATAAAAATTGCAAAAAATAGGAATCTTACTCTTATAACAAGCGCTGAAGCTATCGTTCCATAGAGTTTGCAGTATCTTATCCAACTGCTTCGGTGTTGGCTGACCAACACACGAGTATACAGCATCCTCATTAATATTGTCAAAAGCCATAGATACAGACTTGAACAGAAAAGGATGAACACCAAAAAAACTTAATTGTAAACCTGTAGAACATTGAGAACACGACGCATGTCTCCGCCGGATAAAGAAAGCAAAGCTTTCTTTCCATCCTCAGTAACTTCAAGCTTTTCATTTTCAATCTAATATACAGAAAATATTAGGAAAACTGAAAATGAACCCATACCACATGATCTAATCTAGGAATAATCTGAGTAAGTTCCAACGGAGCAAAACGGAAACGAGTACATCTATAGAGCAAGATAGACAAAGTTCTTATTCGAGAAATTACCTGGACTGAATGGGAGGAATGATGGAAGAGAGGTAATTACAAATAATACAGAAACGAACGTTCTCCGTATACTTCTCGATAACTCTGTATCAGACAATACATTGTATATTAATTATCATAGATTACCTTCTCAAAGCATTTTGAGCATCCTTGGTCATGGCATCAGCCTCGTCCAGGATTACAAGTTTGAAAAGACCTTTGGTTGCCGAAGCATCGGTGTGGAGTGATTTAGTTTGAGCGAAGCTGATAATGTTCTCTCTGAAAAAATATCGATAATCCGTGAACTTCTGGAAAATTTCATGCCTGACAACGTTGATTCCTCTGTCATCAGAAGCATTGAGTTCAAGGACCATAGAAGCTTTCTGTTTTTTTGTGAACAACTGGTTTGCAGCAGCCAAAATTGCGGTGGTTTTTCCTGTTCCAGGAGGTCCATAGAAGAGAAGATGAGGGAACTTATTCTCCTCGATGAACTTAGTTACTAAAGTTTTGAAAATGAAGCTCAGATTGACTTAGAGAGATATTACATGTCTTGATGATTTCCCCATGAGATACGATCTGTTTCAAGCTATCAGGTCTGTACTTCTCAATCCAAGGCAGATTAACACTATCAACTTCCATCTGATAAAAACGGATTAGTACTCAAGTAAATCATGGAGAAACGCAAAAAATTGAATTCAAGCTTCTGGGAAATTAGAATAGCAAGGTTGAACCAAGGATTCGCGGTTTTTTTCGCAGCGCAGTTAATGGTAAAAACCATTCAGCAAGGCTTAAATTCAAGTACGCAATTCAACGAATGCAATCACAAAGCGAACAAGACGTAGAGTCACGTAGTGATCTTAAGCATACTGCTTAAAGCATTATACATTTTGAACTTACTCCATTAAGTTGTTTCACTTATTTAATACAAAACCAAAGCATATATGCTCAACGATATATTGAATCTTTAGTGATCTTACCTAGAATGGCATCGAAAGCTGCTGCCCGTGTTAGAAAGAAGGAAGTTATAAAGGTTGTACATGGAGCTTTACTGAAAACGAATATCAAGTGAGTAACACAGGCCTTCATTATAACATGCATTAATCAGGGCTCAAATGGCATCTGCCGCACCTCCTTTGGGACCACAACTTGGTCAACGAGGTATCAATGTAGCTAACTTTTGCAAAGAGTTCAACAAAGAAACGGGACACATTCACGCAGGTGAGCACTTCAAGCAATGGTCTTTTCAAATCTGTTGTTCTTGATCTCAAAATTGTTCAAAATACCATGTTTCAGGTGCCATACTACCGACTCGAATAACAGTAAAACCCGACAGAACTTATGATCTAGAAATATGTTCCCCGTCATCTTCATGGCTTTTAAAAAAGGCTGCGGGAATAGCAAGAGGGAAACAATCAACAGGTTGAAAGTTGATTGGGTTCGAAGTAAGATGGTTTGTCTTCATTACAGATGATATTGCGGGGAAGTTATCTGTGAAG